TTAAAAAAAAAAAAAAAAAAACCTAGTAGCATTATATATAGGGATATTACTTTTTTGCTTTCTCACATTGTTTTGCAGGTACAGAGACATCTTTCACTCCTCACATCATTGGCCAGGCTCACTGCCAGAGACTGGACAGGCTGCACGCCACCACACCGCTACTTGGTAGCTCCCCCTGCGCTTGTTCGGCCTCCTCGACCCAGAGTTGTCGTTTGGCTTCGACCCGACTCCCCTTGGGTCAAGCTGAACACTGATGGCTCTTTTGATCGCCAGACCGGAGTTGCCGGAGGAGGAGGTTTGATCCGGGACCACAGCGGCGCTCTTATCACCGCCTTCCACACGTCCCTTCAGGCCTCCTCGAGCTACGATGCAGAGATTCAGGCTCTACAGATTGGCCTTCATCTCGCTGCCCACCTCTCTAGTCATATTTGGATCGAGCTGGACGATGCGGCGGTCGTCACCATCCTGACCTCGGGCCACCAGGGCTCGTGGCAGATTCAGCACCCGCTTATGCGCATTAGAGCTCTCCTACGGTCTGTCCATCACAGGATTACGCACATCTTCCGTGAGGGAAACAGACCTGCTGACTACCTTGCCAGCCTTGGCGCCACCACATCGGACCTACACACGTATCAGACCGACACCACTGCTCCACTCCGTCTTCGCACGCTGGTACGGATGGACCAGCTTGGATACCCATCTTTTCGGTTTTAGTAGATTACATTTTCTCTCCTTTGATCATACATTTATTCCGGGCACCTGTTAGCCCGATGACAGACCTTGTAGTATTTCCTTTCCTTTTCCTTTTCTGTTTTTGTCTTCCTTTTGATTGTGAGACTATGTTGATTGTATTTGGTTGATATTTGGGCCCTTCTTGGGGTCTTGATCTATATACAGGTTGGGGATCCAGCCCAATCCCCCGCCCCCGGGGCGTTTTTTTTTTTTTAAAAAAAAAAAACCTAGCAGCATTATATAACTAACTTAGCAGCAAGATACAACTAACCTAGCAACTAGTAACCTAGAACCATCAGAGAACTAACCTAACAGCTTAAGACAACTAACCTAGCAGTAAGATACAACTAACCTAGCAGCATTATGTAACTAACTTAACAGCAAGATACAACTAACATAGCAACTAGTAACCTAGCACCATGAGAGAACTAATCTAGCAGTATCACACAACTAACCTAGCAGCAAGATACAACTAACCTAGCAGCATTATATAACTAACTTAGCAGCAAGATACAACTAAGCTAACAACTAGTAACCTAGCACCATCAGAGAACTAACCTAGGTTAAGGGTTATAAAAAGTTTTTCAAATTACAAACACAAATGCTACATTAATATTCATATTTAAAAAAATAAAAAATAAAATCGACGATGCTCCAATTTTCTCATGTGTGAGCTCGTGTGCCATTTAAGGCAGCAATTTTGAACTTTGAATGCGTTGTGTTTTTACCAGAAACGCCCCTGGTCCACGATATATCTACCAAAATACCCCTACCACAATCAACGGTCACGATCAAGCAACTATCCAGCTCATGCAAAAAATAAGTTCCCTCCTTCCTCCTCTCCTGCAAAGATTAATTACCCAAACAAACAGAGGTACAACAATGGTGAAATACATACAATATATACATACAAAATTCTCTCCGTAAATCACTGATCATGAAAATTCAATTTTCGAATAACTCCAATTCAATGCAGCGCCGTTTCCATTTTTCGTAGCTCTACATTTCATCGCATCAAAAGTAATGAATTCTGGTAATGTTGAAATCTCCGCGGCTTTTGAATTGATTGAACATTCTTAGTTCCGTTTACGTTTTCAATATTTTTTTTTTCTATAATCCAGCTGCTTCAGCTGAATCTGCGTCTTTTCATTTGATTACAGCCAATTGAGCCGTTTTTTGATATGTGAGAAAATGTGCTGCTGCCGCTCGTGATATGTGAGAAAATTTCAGCTGAATTTCTTATATTTTTTGATGTAGTTTCGATCGTTTTTGTGGTGTTTGGAGCATGGTACATTTTCTGGTTTTGTTGAGAAGCTGAATCTTGTTGAAACCTACGGGTTGTACTGATTGTTATCATTTTCAAATCCTCTTTGGGGTTGTGTGGTATCTGTGTACTTTGGTGAGAAAACGGTTCTCTCGATTAACGAAGCCGTTTGAGGTTTGGAGACGGCAAGCTTGGAGGGGGAGGAGTTTTTTGAGGGAAACTCTTTAATCGGATGTTGAATAAGAATGGCAAGCATAAGAGCTCCAGCAACTAAGAAAACTACAACTCTTACTGTTAGTTCAGTTCTTTTCCTTGACCGATTTTATTCTTTGTTTTTGTTATTTGTTCACTGATTTATGTTTTCTTAGTTTTGATTCTTTTGGTTATTGTAGGTGGCTGTTAAATGTCGGCCATTAACTGAGAGAGAACGTGGCCGAAATATAGTAAGAGTGCACGATGACAAGGTCTGACATCTTTTCTTTTCTATTAGAAAAAGTAACTGATGTGCACTTCCCAAATCTCGGTGAGAAATGCAAAATAATGTTCAATGTAGGAAATACTTTTACTGGATCCTGATCTTTCAAAGGACTACCTAGATCGTGTACAAAATCGTAGCAAGGAGAGGAGATACACTTTTGATTATGCATTTGGCCCCGACTATTCCAATTCGGTATGGGCTTCATCTTTTTGTATATCCAGATGACTAGTTCTGGATTCATACATATGTTTATAAATGCGCTTGTGAAATGTACTAATTTCCTAAAAAAAAAAGAATCACTCAATTGATGTTCTGATATAATGCTTGAATCAACTAAAATGTACTCAATTGTGGATTTTGTTTATTCATGTAATATTGTAATTTGATATCTAGTGTTCAATACCCTAAATATATAAAACAGAGGTGGTCGATGCAATTATAAGTTTTACTGTATAGTATCCACAAGATCTGCCGTGTTGGTCATATGTGAAGAACAAAACTATCATTCAGTAGTCTATTTCTGGCTTATATAGTATACAATCTGTCATCTTTATGCTCGTTGTTTTTGTTTCTCAACTTGATAGGTGGTCATCACTTTGCCTCATCTTTGTTTTGGTGTTTCATGATCTTGAAACTCAGAATTTAGTGATGAATACAGATGTACAATTAATTGATTCTGGTTTCTGAATGTCTAAAACGTTGAAACGCAGCCATGGTTTTCACTTTGTTTGTGGGACTGGATACATGGGCCGTATGTCTGTATATTTAAATTAATGTAGAAAATTGATGAAGCTGCTTCTTTATACAGGGTGTCTATGAAAGAAGTGTACGATCCACAATTGTTGGGGTTGTCCAAGGTCTCAATGCCACTGTATTTGCTTATGGTTCCACTGGGAGGTAAATTGATGTCTAAAAGCGTAGTACAGTAGGTACTTGCTACAATGGAGTGAAGGGCACACGTGTCTTCTGCTTATTTGACTGAGTTATGCAGTTACTTCTGTCTTCTGTGTTCTTTCAATTACGAACGTGTTGTTAGAAGTTGCCTGGCCGAGTTCTGTTGATTTATTTGTAACCTGCAATTTACAGAAGTAATTACTGCAAATGATTTCTTTCAACTCATGCTGGTAATGCATTTCACCACTCATAAAAAATGAGTCAGCTTAAGACATTTATTTGTGCTCGGGAATAAGTTTGCTGCATACGAAATAATTTTTTCAGCTGTGTAATTATCCAGTTATTACTTTACTGCATAAGCTTTGACTTGAAATGAACCTTTTATGAACTAACCGTCCTTTTGGTAACTGATATATACATACATACATATATAATAGTAATAATAATAAAAGGAAATGTTTCTTTTACTCTATATTTACATTCATCCCGAGTTTTCAGTAGTATTGGTGGATGATATAAGGTCAAAGGATACACATGCGCCATCTCAAAAGAATTATTATTGATTACCTATAATTTCTCAGCTGTTAGTTTCTTGTCTTATACCAACAAGTATAGGTACCATGATTGTCACTGAAGGGGAACACAGTATCAGGTTATTTTATTTTGTCGGCTAGTTAATGTGCTAAATACAAGAACATGGATTCAGATTATTGGACATTATGTTGCATATTATATCTTAGTTTTGCTCATTAAATAAAATTTGATGTGAATTTGTTGCTAATAAATTTTTCAATTTTCTTTTTTCCTTCTGAACATTCAGCGGCAAGACATATACCATGGTTGGAACTCAAGATGACCCTGGACTAATGGTTCTAAGCTTAAATACAATATTTGATCTTATTGAGGAAGAAAATTGTTCTGATGATTTTGAAGTTACTTGCTCATACCTTGAAGTCTACAATGAGGTGGGTCATCATATACTTCCTTTACGAAATTTCAGATATATATGTTCTTGACGAAATTCTGTTTGTATATGAAATTATTTTCGTGCAGGTCATTTACGACTTGCTTGAAAAATCATCAGGTCATCTGGAACTAAGGGAAAATCCAGAACAAGGAATACTTGTTGCTGGCCTAAGAAGAATCAAGGTAATTATCGCAGTTCTTTCCAGTAAAAATTTGATCCGGTATGATATTGAATTATCCTGCATTTTTTCAATTGCTTCATCTATATGACACTTCTGATGCATTGATCGGAAATTTGTGGCGTTAGTTTTCATCTTATATAGGCTAGCCATCAATGTTTGAACCGATACTCTACATGATGACCGATACTCTACATAAATTTATCAATACTTAATATCAATTATCAGGTGAATTCAGCTGATAGGATTCTTGAACTATTGAACTTGGGGAACAGTAGGCGAAAAACTGAAAGTACAGAGGTTAATGGAACTTCCTCACGGTTAGCAGCTTCTTCTATAAAATTATATATTATCATAATCTTGCTGCACCTTTTTGTCCTCTGTTGCTTTCTTTTTTTTTTTTTTTTTTTTTTTTTTTTTTTTTTTTTTTTTTTTTTTTTTTTTTTTTGTTTCCTGAAATGGGAAGTACAGCATAATTTGTTTCAATAGAACTAACTTGTATTATCATGCTTAGGCATGCCTTTGGTTAGATCATGTCAGTGAGTGCTTCCAATGTTTAGTCCTTTGAGGTCAAGTTTGGAACTCCTTTTTAGTACTCTGGGTGTACCAGTTCACAAACGCAACCCCTTCCTTTTCCTTCTCTAAAATTGCTATCATTCAAAAACCTGAAGACTGCTTCTAGCTGAAGGCATAGTGTAAAGTTTTGATTCTCCATTTTTAGTATTGATATTTGTTACAGATAATTACTCATCGTGCTGATTTCTTCAGTACATCAACCTTCTTTTACAAGTTGATACATTGTATATCTTTTCAACAGCTCACATGCAGTTTTGGAGATAAGTGTAACAAGAAAACAACATAAACAATATCCCAAGCAGATTATCAGAGGAAAACTTGCACTTGTCGATCTTGCTGGCAGGTTCGCTCATCCATTATGTATGTTTTGCAAATAACTTTTAGTTTTACTTTGCTTATGAAGCACAGCTGGGATAATTCACATTACAGCGAACGAGCATCTGAAACAAATAATGCTGGCCAGAAATTGAGAGACGGCGCCAATATAAACAGATCACTTCTTGCTTTGGCGAACTGCATAAATGCTTTGGGCAAGCAGCAGAAGAAGGGTCTCGCGTATGTGCCATATCGGAATAGGTCTCTCTCTTTAAAACAAGCATGCGCGCACACACAATGTGAATTAGAAGTATGGTGGTAAGGATGCGTACTGATGTTGTAGCTATTCTAAAATTTTCTTCAGCAAGTTGACGCGGATTCTTAAAGATGGTTTGAGTGGCAATTCTCAGACAATAATGGTTGCTACCATCTCACCAGCTGATAATCAGTATCACCATACAGTCAATACTTTGAAGTATGCTGACCGGGCAAAGGAAATAAAGACACATATTCAGGTTAGAAAGATACCATATTCCCTATAAGCAACACGTGCGTCTGAGTTTCTGAAAACTAAGAAGAGTGGTCCAGTAGATACTGTCGTAATATTGTCCACATTTAGCAAAATAACATCATATACCTACCCGAGCAGGTTATGCAGATTTCTTCTAACATTCTACTTAAAGTAGTGCATAATCTGTTGGAACAATCTGAAGAATAAAGATTTTGTAAACTATCCATCAACTCAGTGATTCTCCTTAAACATGGGTGATGGTTGATATAAGACTTACAAAACATGACCCTGGTTCTAGAGCTTTGCTCTGTTGGTTGCTGTATGCCTTTTGGCACCATCAATGCTCTGTTGGGTGTGTATTAATAAAGTATATGGTTCTCAGAAGAATATTGGCACCATCAATGCTCCTGTATCAGACTACCAGAAGATCATCGACAATCTTCAGGTAATTGTTAACTCATATAATCTCTATCTAAGTGTAGTATTATATTGTAATGCTATGAGAATCAATTCATCTTTCAGAGTGAGGTTGGTCGCTTGAGAAAGGAATTAGCAGAAAAGGAGTCACAACTTAATTCTAAGCATACTGAGAGATCACCGGATGATGAAATATCCTGGTTAAACTCATTGAGCCAAGAAACCAGTGAAAATGTGCTGGAGAGGATAAATTTACAGAAGGCTTTAATCGAACTTGAAGAAACTAACCTTTGTAACCGAAAGGAACTCCAACATCTTGATGATGCTATTGCAAAACAGCAGGTTATGATTTGGCTTCTTTATCCAGATATTATCTGTAATATAAATTTTAGTTTGTAACCCATTCCATATTTTATCTGGTTTCTAATAGTGAGATTCTTTTTATTTTTTTTTTTTTTATTATTATTATTTTTTTTTTGCACTGTATTGGAGGCAAATTAGTGTTTAGATTGTGAATGAATTATGAAGCCTCCTATGCTTTCTGGTTGCAGGTTATCGAAAATGACGGAGCTGTAGTGCAGGCTTTGCAAGCAAGACGTCAAATGATTCTTGATAACATTCGTGATAATGATGAGCTTGGTGTTGGTTACCAGAAGGTACTTTGGGTGATAGGTCCATGTCTTTTTCTAATTTATCCTCTATTGACACCAAACTTGTCTCCTTGTAGGAAATTGAAGCTAATGAGCAGTGCCGGTGTCAACTACAGGATATGATTGATGAAGCCATTAGGAATAACGGCAACAAAACATACTTAAGCATCTTGAGCCAGTACCGACTGCTGGTAAGCAGATACTAAATTTTTTTGATGTATCACTCTAACGGAACGATTACAGAAACTATCCCTAGGTTTAATCTAATATCCAGTTTCTTTTTTTTCTTGTTTTTTTTTTTTTTGTTTTTTTTTTCAATATTTGTTTATAAATATGGCTAAAACCTGTGGAGTAGGCTTTGTAGATATCCGTCTCAATCATAACAATTTATGACCTGAGCATTTATACTGCAACTACAACAGGGAATAAGTAACACCGAACTTCAATTCGAAATCGCAATAAGGGACCAAATTATTAACAGCCAAAGAGAAGCACAGAGAAACTTATGGAACCTGCTCACAAGCTTTGGGCTCAATGAGAAGCAGATTGTGGAGCTTGGAGCAAAGCAAGGAATCACAGTTGAGGACTTTCAGATGACACCACCAGCAGATGTGCTGTCAAATATGAAGTATGAAGGAAACAACACTCCCTTACACTGTACCACATTCAAAGGCCAACCTTGTGCCTTATCACCTTGCTTCTTTCCTCAAGACCGGGAATTGAGTTCAAGATGCTTTCCTCATGCATTTTTCAGAGAGGAGCTCCATGCTTCGTATTATTATGTCTGTCATGGGTCGTCCCCGCCAGGCAATCAGCAGTGGCAGTCAGGCTCTTGTTATGGTGTCATTGATGGGACGGGATGTGGTTTGCTTCCATATGACCAAAGTGTTATTTCGGCTTCATCTTATGGGAGCAGCTGTCGGGCACGACAGCAGGTATTCTTATTTATTTTAAGATTGATTTTGAAAGTAAATTTACCCATTATCTTTTAGCAAGTTTTTTCTAACACAAATGTTGTTTTTCTCTATAAATGAACAATGGAAAAGCTTTTAAGGTTGGTTACTGGCGCCACCACTCATATATCTTCCAAGTACATATAAAATTCAATTTTCTTGCTCAAGTACAAAGAATTCATTCAGGTCTGTTTTTACCTTACATGTAACCCCTCCACTGCCTCTACGGGCTTGTACAAATTTGATGGGGCTATTTATAACTCTGGAAGTTAACTTTGCAAAACTCGAGGCATATTTGTTCCATGCTGTTAAGACTCTCGACCATTTTCAAGTTTCTACAGAATGCATGGGCGGTGACTAATATGAAGCTTGTATTTGCAAAACTTCGCAGTGAATATTGTAAAATGCTAGACTTAAGATTGTGAATCAGACTAATTGTTTACTTGGTATAGAACTTGTTTCTTGAATCATTTATAACTCTTACTATTTTCTGACATTTATACAGGATGCATTGGCAGTAACTAATAGGAAAGACATAAACATGAAATCTTACGTCGGAACGAGTACCATGTGGGACCCGTGTAAAGGTAACCCAATGCATCATGGTGGGATGGGTGAAGCTAATTTTGGACATCTTTCTGTGAAACAAGATTCGAACAAGGTTAATCCTGAGCATGGTTTCCCAAAAGCTCTAAATTCTTCATGATCCAGCATCCCACGTATACTTCCTTCTCGTTTAACTCCCAAGTTCAAAGGAGAGCAGTTGTAGTGCGATCATAGATTTGTTACAATACAAAGTCACCCGATTCATGTGAACTTCATTTTTCTTTTAATGTTTCTCTTTTCCACTACTTCTAATGTCAGTTGCCCAACAACGTTGTACGGGCACTGCGCGTGTTGTCCGTCTATGGGCGTTGCAGGAGATGTCGCGCTCTGGGCGTGATTCTCACGCGTGTGGTACGGCGTCTGCGAGAAACTCGTGTGCCAACCTGCAAGTCCAGCGCTTGTGCGTGGCTTCATCTAGCCTACCACTGTCGCCTGTCTGTCGACCTTTCGCTCCTGGAAGTTGAATGACACATTATGGCATGTCGCCGGTCATCTTGGGTTGATCGTCGATGGCTAATTCTAGTCTCCTTCAGTGAGAAAGGTTACCAATGAACGAAAGAAATACGAATACATCAAAGTCATTAAATTAGATGATCCAACCATAAAAAATAAACAAAATTTTTATCACTAACACACGCACACAATTACAACAACATGTGGTTCCTGTTTTACACTTGTGAGTTGTCCCACATCGCCTATACAAGAAAAATAGGCCTAACTGATTAGCCTAGTGAGTTACTCCTCCTACCACCAATTGGTTTTGGGATGAAACCCCACTAAGGCCCATCTAGGCTCACCCTGCTTTGGTGCGCTTCATGTTCGTGGAACCGCACCCGTCAATCCCGTTTCTTCATAGTATCAGAGTCGGTCCACCCAGCCCAGTTGGGCTTGAGATTATGTGGGACCATGCAATGACGTACCCGTCATCCAGCCCAGTTGGGCTTGGGCCTCATGAAAGACTCACAAGTGAGGGAGCGTGTTAGAATATACACTTGTGAGTTGTCCCACATCGTCTATACATGGAAAATAGGCATAACTTATAAGCCTAGTGGGGCTCCTCCTATCACCAATTTGTTTTGGGATGGAACCCCACTAAGGCTCATCTAGACTCACCCTACTTTGGTGCGCTCCACGTCCGTGTGACCGCACCCGTCAACCCCCGTTTCTTCAGTTCCCATCCCATCACACCCCACAATACTCTCTCACATACACTAACACACACTCCCTCACAGACACTACCACACGCATCACACACATGCACACACACACACACACACACACACACTCACATCACACACACAAAAACAATTATCACACACAAAAACATAAACAATGTCCGGCTACCACCATCGTGCCACCGCCGCCGCCACTCACACCATGTCTGCTGGAGCATCCCCGCTACTAACAGAGTCCACTGACAACATACCATTAGTCTTCCGTGCCGGAGTATACTATCAGGGCATCATCGTCGACGCCAGCTCTTCTCCATGCATAATCCCTCGGCGGCGATGATCGACTATGCCCCGTGGCGGTCTCCTGCGCCGGCCCCCGATTATGACATCCCCCGTCGTCCGCATTGTCCCCCCTTGTCCCTTGCCCGCCGCCGTCCTCCCGCTTGGCTCCGCTCCTTACATTCCCCAAGCACTGTATCCGGAGGGCGCGTCTGCGACTTTATCCTCCCTCCCCGTTGCCATATCCACTCGCCGTCGGTCAATCTGAATTGCAATTAATTAACCATCAAAAATCTGAAAATTAGGGATGGGAAAGAATTCTGCAGTTAAAAAAATGGGGTTGGGCCATTTTTTTGGAATTAAACAATTCAAAGGGGCCTATTTGCAAATTAAGAATTTTTAACTTATTACATTTAAGTTAATGGGCTGAATTTATAAATTAATAAAACTCAATAGTTGCTTTTATATGTCAGTTTGAATTTTCGATTCAATTATTTGTTTCTTCTTTAATTTCCAGTTGGAATTTTTATGTGTAATCTGATTAACTATTTTTACATTTAAAAATTTAATTATCTTGGTTCGATGTACTCTTTTTCAAATAACCGAACCGACAAAACTATACAAAAATATTATTTTGTATATATTTCTTATATATATATACATTATTTTGAACAAAAATTAATATAAATATTAAATAGAAAAATTAAATTAGTAAATAAGTTTTTATAAAAATAAAATAAAAATTAATTTGATTATTTATGGAAAATTTGATACTTGAACACCAAGTATCCAGAGTTGCACGTGAATAGAACAAACAGACAGTAATGAAGATTCAAACAGTTGCGGAAGCAGTTTTCACTTAGAATTGAACCTTCAGGAGAGCGTCTCACTCTCCCTTCATATCTCTTTCATTAATGTGAACAACTCATACATCATTCAAGGATTTACAATATAGACTCCCTCTACACTCTACTTGAATAATAATCCACACAACTACTTATCTGACCACAACTCCCTTGTGGATTTTCTAGTTCAAATCCCTCTAACTAGATCAGAATGAACCTCCGAACACTCTGTTACAAAGAAAAACTGTGTTCTGTATATCTCTTTATCACTCAAGGAAAGAAAAAAATAAAACTCAAAAATTTCAACCAAAAAACTCGTCCTCAACTCTGGTCTCGTCCTCCTTTTATCTTCAGCATCCTTTGGTAAGTCTTCATGTAACATCCCGACTTTTTAATACTATCAGAGTACGCGTTTTTCGCAATTTTTCTGAATAAATAAATAAAATATTTATTTTTCAAAAACTGATTCGGGATGCTACCGTGAAAAACTTGATTTTTCTGAAAACCGTTAAAT